TGGGAGTATAATGAGCATGGAAGCAGATTCCTCTGAATGAATAAAAAGGGGGACTCTGTAGTGTAGATAGAGCAGGAAATTTATAGAATAAGAATGAATGTAACTTGGTGTAATTTGTGTGGTGTGGAAAATTACTAAGGTGAAATATTAAGAGAACATTTGCCCGCTTGAAGGCTGCCACACCCATTTGGTCCTGCCAGATGTGGGGGCTGCACCCAGCAACAGTGGTAACGAAATAATCTTGCCACACGGGAAGGACCCCCACCCTTCTGTGGCCAGTCGATACTGATAACCTAGGACATCTGGTTATCGGAAAGATCAAACGAGGGGCAGTTTCGAACTGACTTAAAAGAGGTGGCTGAAGCAGGACGGTTATCTCATGTCTCACAATGGCTCTGGCACCAGGCCTCCGTGGAAAGAGAGATCCTCCTAGCCTGTCTCCCGGAAAGCAGAAATATTAAATACCTTGCCTAAACATTTAATGCTCTGTCTCCCGAGTACAGAGCTTTGTCTCCCAAAAACAGACATTTAACGCCTTGCATCCCGAATGCAAATCCTCATTCCCTGAGAGTGGACATTGGAGGTCTGTCTCCCAAGAACAGACTAGATACTCTGCCTTTCAAAATGCTTTGCCATCCCGACAGCAAAGCTTCGTCTTCTGAGCAGACAGAACGCTTTGCCATCCCGAGAGCAAAGCCTCATCTTCGAGAGTAGAGAACTAAAAGCCTTGTCTCCTGAGACTCGGTCACCCGAATAGCCGAGTCCAAGGCCCTACCAGATACCAGCCTGGAACATGGAACCTTATCTTCCAAGTGCAAACTGCGGGGTCAAGAGTCGATCTTCGCTACCCAGCCCCCAGTGCGGACAAGAGCCCAGCCTGAAGAAATTCAAAAAGCCCTTTTTAAGCCAGGGAATACCAGGTCGTATGATGCTATTTCATGTGTATGAGGTTAAGAGAAGAGCATAGATGTGTTAATACATATGTCTAGTGTGTGAAATGTTAAGAGATATTTTATGGATAATTAATAAGATTAGGAAATATTAATGGATAAGTTAAGGTTAAGAAGCGTTTTATAGATATGGATAAGTTAAGGTTAAGGAGTGTTTTATAGATAAGTAATGGATAAATTGTATTAAGATGAAAGACCCTCAACGAGGACCTCTTTTCGGGAGGAGACCTCCCCAACGCCAAGGAACAGGCCGAGACCGCACGGATGCAATTCGCAAGAGGTTTATTGAGTAGACACAGGTACCTGTGGGCAGCAAGATCTCTCGGAAGATTTGCGCACCTGCCAACTGGAGGCCGGGCTTTTTATAGGGAAGAGCAAAAAACAAGTTTACAGAAGCAAAAGCGTGGTTATCGATCGACTGGAATGAGGCGGGGGCATGAATGGTTTCCCCTCTCAGCATGGGTGTCAGCAAGAAGCAAGTTTACAGAAGCAAAAGTGTGGTTATCGGAATGCGGCGGGGGGGGGGGCATGAAAGGTTTCCTCTCTCAGCATGGATGCCTGGCAACAATCATCCTGTTCCTATCTTATAGCTAACCTGCTTTGTTGACATCCTATCTTATTGACATCTTGCCTTGCAGTCTTCCTATCTCTATCTCCTGCTCTCTCAGGCACATGGGATGTTCTAACGGGAGCAGGCTGGCTGCTGATCCGGGGATTTGTTTAAAACAAACAGGACGTTCCCCCGGGAGCATGCTAGCTGCGGGTTTTGGGGAGGGGGTCTGTAGGGTCTTTCATTTCCCCCTTTTTCTTTTTGTTAATGAGTTAAATCTTTTACTCAAAGCAATTACAGAACCTCGGTATCATGTGATACTGATGGGTCAGTACTAGGGCCTGAATGACTGACAGCCTGTCTTTTATAAACTGGACCAGGCGGTTTAAGATGCAGGGCCCAAACAGGAGTATCAGAAGGAGGATAATCAAGGGACCCATCAAAGAAGACAATAGAGTTGTAAACCAGGGAGACTTATTGAACCATCCTTCGAACCATCCTTGTTGTGATTCGAACAGCTTTTGTCTCTGTCTTAACCTCTCTCTAAGCTTTGTCATATTGTCTCTCACCAGCCCAGTGTGGTCCGCATAGAAGCAGCATTCCTCTTTGAGCGCCGCACATAACCCTCCCTCTCGCAAAAACAACCAGTCTAGCCCCCTCCTGTTTTGTAGGACTACCTCTGAGAAGGAGGTTAAGGACTTTTCGAGTGCGCTAACCGATTCTTCCAGGGCCTTGATATCAGTATGCATGGCTGCCTGAAGTTGTCTAAATTGGCTGGTCTCCATAAGAGCGGTGGTCCCTGTGCCCACCCCTGCCGCTATTCCCCCCATAGTGATGCCTCCCAGCAATAAGGCCAAAGTTAGGGAGGCTGGTTCTCTCCTAAATCAGGGTCTCCCTTCAAAATGACTATAGATGTATTCAGGATCATGGTATGTAACTTTGGGCCATAATTCAATTAGAACGCAGTAATCAGAGGTTTCACTGAGCACAGCAGCTGAAACGCATGGGATTAATCCAGTACTGCATGCCCAATAGGTCCCGTTGGAGGCAGCTAGGTAATAGGTTCCTCTGGACACCTTTTGGGTAGAGTTACATAAGGCCTGGTGGGTTTTGGGAATAGTCCCTATGCAAAGTCCCTGTCCAGATACATTAGACAGGGTCAGCTTATGCTGGGGGATGGAAGTGTAGCTGGTGGGTGCATTGAAAACCTGGTGCGGGCTATTTTCTTGTGCCGCCATCCCCAGTCTTAGTAGGGCCCATATAATAGTCAAAGGGCCCCACGGGTAAGCCTTATCTTTAAGGGGTTTTGAGTGCGTTGGATTCTCCATGCTGGGGTCGCAGCAGGCTCCGCTTTCTCAGCTGTATGGGCGGCCTTAACGTGCGAGGCATGGATCCAGGCTGCAATGCCGTCAACCTTCAGTGCCGTTGGAGTGGTCAGAAGGACAGTGTAAGGGCCTTTCCACCGAGGTTCCAAGTTTTTGGTCTGGTGTCTGTGGACCCAAACAGTATCTCCTATCTGGAAGGGATGCGGTACCACCGGCTGGTTCAGTTGGTCTCAGTAAGCAGCGGCGAGTGGCTTCCAGACCTCTCTTTGCACAATCTGTAACGCCTGTAAATGGGCTTCCAGAGAAGAACTGTCAGCAAAATCGGCAATGTTTGAATCAAAGAAATTTATAAATGGGGGAGGAGCTCCATATAGGATTTCAAAAGGTGTCAGTCCATGAGGCCCTGGAGTGTTGCGGGCTCTGTACAGGGTCAGTGGTAAGAGGAGCACCCAGTCTCTAGCCAGTTGCAAGTGTTAATTTGGATAAGGTCTCCTTAATTGTTCTATTCATGCGTTCTACCTGCCCTTAACTTTGGGGTCTATATGCACAATGTAATTTCCATTCGACCCCTAGGAGTTTGGCCACCAACTGACTTACCTGGGAGACGAAGGAAGGGCCATTATCGGTGCCTAAGACTTGAGGCATTCCGTACCTGGGAAAGATTTCTTCCAAGAGCTTTTTCGTCACCACCTTTGCGGTTTCGTGTTTGGTGGGAAAGGCTTCCACCCATCCTGAAAAAGTGTCTATGAACACCAAGAGGTATCTGTACCCATAGAGACCTGGCTTAACCTCCGTAAAGTCGATCTCCCAATGTACTCCGGGATGATGTCCCTGTACCCTAACTCCTGGACCAAGCTTGGTTCTGCCTGCGTTTACCTGAGCGCAGGCTTGGCATTCATCAGTCACTTTTTGCAGGGCTCCATCCCTGTTCAGGAGGTGTTGGCCTGACTCCTGTCTGTCCAACAAGGTCTTCATCTTCTTTGGCCCCAAATGGGTCAATTTATGTAAGTAGTCTATTATTTTATAAGTATGTTTTGTTGGCATAACAATCTTTTCCTTAAAAACCCAATGTTGCTTTTTGGGGTCATATGTGGCCCCCATTTTCTTTAGGAGATCAATGTCCTCTGTACTATAGGGTAGCGAACTGGAGGGTGGGGCCTCTTTCGGGTTCATCAAGGGGAAAACTTGGGAGGTCTTGGTTGATTTCATAGCAATCTTTCGAACAGTGTCATCTGCCAGTCTATTTCCCTTTGCCTCAGGGCTATGGCCTTTTTGATGCCCAGGGCAGTGCATAATACTTAATTTTTGGGGCAAAAATAAGGCCTTTAGGAGTGCCAGTATTTCAAGTTTGTTCTTAATTTCCTTTCCTTCTGAGGTCAGCAGCCCACGTCTTCGATAAATTTCCCCATGTATGTGAGCCGTGGCGAAGGCATATCGGCTATCTGTATAAACATTTAGCCTCTTACCTTCTGCCATCCGGAGTGCCTGGGTCAGAGCGATGAGTTCAGCCCTCTGGGCAGAGGTGCCTGCGGGGAGGGCTTCTGCCCAAATTACCTCAGTCTCCGTTGTCACTACCGCCCCCGCTCTTCGTTCCCCATTTGCCAGGAAACTGCTGCCATCCGTATACCAAGTATAGTCAGCATCTCGGAGGGGTTGATCCGTCAGATCCGGCCTGGTCCCGTGTATTTCTGCAAGGATCTGGAGGCAGTCATGGTGTTGGGCTTCCTCCGGCAGGGGGAGCAAGGTCGCGGGATTAAGAGCGACCACAGGTCCAAAGTGCACCCGGTCTGTATCCAGGAGCATTGCTTGGTAATGAGTCATGCGTGCATTGGAGAGCCAGCGGTCTGGAGGCTGTTTAACCAGAGCCTCCACCGCATGGGGTGTCAGGATAGTCAATGGCTGGCCCAGAGTCAGTTTACCCGCGTCCTTGGTGAGGACTGCAATAGCTGCTACCATTCGCAGGCAGGGCGGCCTCCCTGAAGCTACTGGGTCGAGTTTCTTTGAGAGGTAAGCTACAGGACGCCTCCAAGGGCCCAGTTTTTGAGTTAGGGCCCCTTTAGCATAACCCTGTTTTTCATCCACGAACAAATCGAACAAATCGAAAGACTTGGTAATGTCAGGGAAGCCCAGAGCAGGGGAGGCTAACAAGGCTTTCTTAATGTTTTCGAAAGCCCTCTATTGGTCCTCCCCCCAATCAAACATTGTTCCTTGTTTAGTTAATGGATACAAGGGTGCAGCCAGCTCTGCAAACCCTGGGATCCAGAGGCGGCAGTATCCCGCTGTTCCCAGGAACTCTCTTAGCTGGCGGGGGTTCCGGGGGGCAGGAATGTTAGTGATGGTTTGTTTGTGCGCCTCGGTCAGCCATCTCTGTCCATCTTTCAATTGATAACCTAGGTAAATGACTTGCTTCTGGCATATCTGAGCCTTCCTGGCTGATGCCCGATAGCCTGCTTGTCCCAATGTCTGTAGGAGGGCCTTTGTACCCTCCTGACATTCTTTCTCCGAAGCAGCCGCCAGAAGGAGGTCATCTACGTATTGGAGCAATGTCAGGGCAGGGTACTGAACCCGAAAGTCTGCCAGGTCCCGGTGTAAGGCCTCATCAAAGAGGGTCGGGCTGTTCTTGAACCCCTGGGGAAGCCGTGTCCAGGTCAATTGACCCGAAAGTCCAAGATCTGGGTCCTTCCATTCAAAGGCAAAAAGGGACTGGCTCTCCGGGTGCAGCCGCAAGCAAAAGAAAGCATCCTTTAAATCTAATACGGTATACCAAACGTGGGATGGCGGCAGAGTGCTCAATAGGTAGTAGGGGTTGGGGACCGTGGGGTGTATGTCCTCCACCCTTTTGTTGACCTCCCTCAAATCCTGCACTGGCCGGTAGTCCCCAGTCCCCGGTTTCTTTACTGGTAAAAGGGGGGTATTCCATGGTGACCGGCAGGGAATGAGAATGCCCTGATCCAGCAGTCTTTTTATGTGGGGCCTTATGCCATGATATGCTTCATGGGACATGGGGTACTGCTTGATTGAAACAGGAGTAGCTGTTGCCTTCAATTGAATGATGAGTGGAGGTTGTTGTATAGCCATCCCCATTCCCCCAGTCTCTGCCCATGCCAATGGAAAGTCATTGAGCCAAGGGGCCATGTCAATTGTCTGTTGCCCCGGGGGCTCGTAAAGTCTATATTCATCCTCCAGCTGGAGGGTCAAAATTTGGAGGGGACCTCCATCTGGGCCCGTTATCTTAGCCCCTGTGTCCTCAAAATGAATTTGGGCCCTTAGCTTGGTGAGGAGGTCTCTACCCAACAAGGGATAGGGACAGTCTGGAACATGCAGAAAGGAATGCATCACCTTACCAGTAGCCAGCTGAACCTTCCGATTAGTTGTCCATCGATATCTCTTGCCACCAGTGGCTCCTTGGACCCAAGCAGATCGTTCGCTGAGTGGCCCTGAAGTCTGAGTCAGGACTGAATGCTGGGCCCCAGTGTCTACCAGGAAGGTGACTGGTTGCCCCCCGATATCAAGAGTTATCCTGGGCTCAGGGGGGGGGCTCCTGGCCCTGAATTCCCTAATCCTCTAAGGTGAGGAGGGAGGTCTGGGGCCTGGGCTTCCTAGGTCCTTTGTTCCTCCTGGGGCAATCCTTAATCCAGTGTCCTCGTTCTTTACAATAGGCGCATTGGTCTCTGTCCACCTTGGCCCTACGTCGTTCTCCCTGCCTGTCTCCCTCTCTATTCTGTCCCTGAACCACGGTGGCCAACACCCTAGTTAATTCCTTGTTTCTCCTCTTGTTGAAAATCTTCTCTGCCTCTTTTAGTAAGTCTTGTATAGTATATCCCTGGAGACCCTCAAGCCTCTGCAATTTGCTTCTAATATCCGGACTAGACTGCCAGATGAAAGACATGGATACACTTGTAGCTTGCCCTGGATCTTCAGGGTCATAGGGGGTATACATCCTATAAGCATCCTTGAGCCTTTCTAAGAAGGCTGAGGGCGTCTCTTCATTTCCCTGTATTACTTGCTTAACCTGGGCCAAATTGGTGGGGCGGCGTGCTGCCCCTCGGAGACCCACGATTAGCAACTGGCAATAGAGGCGTAGGTGTCCCCTACCTGCAGCTGTAGTGAAATCCCAGTCAGGTCGCGTCAGAGGGAAGGCCTCGTCAATTTCGTTAGGCAAAAGGGTTGGGCTCCCGTTGTCGCCTGGGACGTTTTTCCAAGCCTCCAAAAAGACTCTTTGCTTTTCCTCCGAGGTCAGCAGGGTTTCCAAGAGTTGCTGGCAATCATCCCAAGTGGGCTGGTGGGTGACTAAAATAGACTCAATCAGGTTAGACAGCGTTATTGGATCTTTGGAGAATGGGGGATTATGGTGTTTCCAATAGTATAGATCTGAGGCAGAGAATGGCCAGTATTGCTGTCAGCCGTTTGGGCCCTCTCTCAAGGGTAGGGCATGAGCAGTGGAATCAGGGGGTGGTTCGCGCCTTCCCCGGAGTCTTCCCGCCATGGGTGAAGGGGCTGGGGAGACTTGTGCAGGCTGTCCACCTGCTGCTGCAGTCCCTGGCCCATCCGGACTCTCTGGATCCTCTGGATCTGCATAAGGAGGGGGTTCTTCTGATAGAAGGTCAGTGAGGGGAGAGTCAGGGTTCGGAGGAAGGACGGGAGGGGGCATAGGGGTAGGTTTCGGAGGTTTTTCTTTGGGAACCTTCTCCTTAAGAATGGTGGGGTATAGGGAAGAAGAGGGTGGGGCAGGGAAAGGTGCAGGAGGAAGAGGCACAAAAGGTTGGCTCTCCTGGGGAGGGGGAGCCTTAGGGGCTGTAGGGGTAAGAGAAGGTTGGGGTTTGTTAGAGATGTTAGAGATGACAAAGGGCTGGACCCATAGGGGCGGGTCACGTGCCAAACTTTCCCAGGTAACAATGTAGGCGCGTTGGTCCGGATGTCCATGTGGTCCTGGGCTGAACACTTTTGTCTTAACCTGGGAAATAATATTGAGATTGAAAGTGCCATCTCTTGGCCATTCTGATTCAACAGTAGGCCACTTGGACAAACAAAATATCACCCATTTCTTCTTTCGAACATCGACTGACAGGTTGTCGGCTCGGGCGCAGACGTCAGGCCAGTGGTCTAAAGTAAGGCTCAATGGGGTGGTTAGGGTTTGTCCCATCTTCTCGAAGAGAAGGGAACCAAATATAAAAACAAAAAACAAAACAAAACAAACAAACAAAAAAAAACACACACACAAAGACAGAGACAGAACAGATGCTGACAGAACAGACAGAGACAGAACAGACAGAGACAGAACAGACAGAGACAGAACAGATGCTGACAGAACAGACAGAGACAGAACAGATGCTGACAGAACAGACAGAGACAGAACAGATGCTGACAGAACAGACAGACAGAACAGATGCTGACAGAACAGACAGACAGAACAGACAGAGACAGAACAGACAGAGACAGAACAGACGCTGACAGAACAGACAGAGACAGAACAGACAGAGACAGAACAGACGCTGACAGAACAGACAGAGACAGAACAGACAGAGACAGAACAGATGCTGACAGAACAGACAGACAGAACAGACAGAGACAGAACAGACAGAGACAGAACAGACAGAGACAGAACAGACGCTGACAGAACAGACAGAGACAGAACAGACAGAGACAGAACAGATGCTGACAGAACAGACAGACAGAACAGATGCTGACAGAACAGACAGAGACAGAACAGATGCTGACAGAACAGACAGAGACAGAACAGATGCTGACAGAACAGACAGAGACAGAACAGATGCTGACAGAACAGACAGACAGAACAGATGCTGACAGAACAGACAGAGACAGAACAGACGCTGACAGAACAGACAGAGACAGAACAGACAGAGACAGAACAGACGCTGACAGAACAGACAGACAGAACAGATGCTGACAGAACAGACAGAGACAGAACAGATGCTGACAGAACAGACAGACAGAACAGATGCTGACAGAACAGACAGAGACAGAACAGACGCTGACAGAACAGACAGAGACAGAACAGACGCTGACAGAACAGACAGAGACAGAACAGACGCTGACAGAACAGACAGAGACAGAACAGACGCTGACAGAACAGACAGAGACAGAACAGATGCTGACAGAACAGACAGACAGAACAGATGCTGACAGGACAGACAGAGACAGAACAGACAGAGACAGAACAGACGCTGACAGAACAGACAGAGACAGAACAGATGCTGACAGAACAGACAGACAGAACAGATGCTGACAGGACAGACAGAGACAGAACAGACAGAGACAGAACAGACGCTGACAGAACAGACAGAGACAGAACAGATGCTGACAGAACAGACAGACAGAACAGATGCTGACAGAACAGACAGAGACAGAACAGATGCTGACAGAACAGACAGACAGAACAGACGCTGACAGAACAGACAGACAGAACAGATGCTGACAGAACAGACAGAGACAGAACAGATGCTGACAGAACAGACAGACAGAACAGATGCTGACAGAACAGACAGAGACAGAACAGATGCTGACAGAACAGACAGACAGAACAGATGCTGACAGAACAGACAGACAGAACAGATGCTGACAGAACAGACAGAGACAGAACAGATGCTGACAGAACAGACAGACAGAACAGATGCTGACAGAACAGACAGAGACAGAACAGACGCTGACAGAACAGACAGAGACAGAACAGATGCTGACAGAACAGACAGAGACAGAACAGATGCTGACAGAACAGACAGAGACAGAACAGACAGAGACAGAACAGACAGAGACAGAACAGATGCTGACAGAACAGACAGAGACAGAACAGATGCTGACAGAACAGACAGAGACAGAACAGATGCTGACAGAACAGACAGACAGAACAGATGCGCAGCGCAGCAAAACTCAGACGGAGGCTCTGAGGGTCCGGATCCCTCTCCTCCAACTAGGACCACGTATCCTTCGGATACGGGCTCAGCTCCGAAGAATCGGGCTCCAGAAGTCCTTGCGGACTGACTCCGATGTCCGTGGAACGTCTTCCACGGACTGCGGGGGAGAAGTACCAGGCTCGTCAGCCCCCTTCCCTCCGCCAGGTACAGCGCACTCAGACCTGAGTGTACAGAATTCGACAAAGAACACAGAAGACAACTGAACAAAGAACACAGAAGACAACTAACAGAGCTGGCCAGCTTACCTCCCGTTGGTGAGTCGGTGATCCCTGGGTGGGGGGTCTCAATTCCCGGCCAATGCACCAAATGAAAGACCCTCAACGAGGACCTCTTTTCGGGAGGAGACCTCCCCAATGCCAAGGAACAGGCCGAGACCGCACGGATGCAATTCGCAAGAGGTTTATTGAGTAGACACAGGTACCTGTGGGCAGCAAGATCTCTCGGAAGATTTGCGCACCTGCCAACTGGAGGCCGGGCTTTTTATAGGGAAGAGCAAAAAGCAAGTTTACAGAAGCAAAAGTGTGGTTATCGATCGACTGGAATGAGGCGGGGGCATGAATGGTTTCCCCTCTCAGCATGGGTGTCAGCAAGAAGCAAGTTTACAGAAGCAAAAGCGTGGTTATCGGAATGCGGCGGGGGGGGGGGGGGCATGAAAGGTTTCCTCTCTCAGCATGGATGCCTGGCAACAATCATCCTGTTCCTATCTTATAGCTAACCTGCTTTGTTGACATCCTATCTTATTGACATCTTGCCTTGCAGTCTTCCTATCTCTATCTCCTGCTCTCTCAGGCACATGGGATGTTCTAACGGGAGCAGGCTGGCTGCTGATCCGGAGATTTGTTTAAAACAAACAGGATGTTCCCCCGGGAGCATGCTAGCTGCGGGTTTTGGGGAGGGGGTCTGTAGGGTCTTTCAAAGATTATAGATAAGTAATGGATAAGTAGTATTAAGGTTAAGAAGTATTTTATAGATAAGTGATAAGTTAGATTAAAGTTATGAATTGGTTTTATGTATTGAGGTTTAGTAGGATTAATAATTGTAATATTGAATTGCCTGTGTGTTGCCCATTATCAATCCCCCATACCTATTAAGGTGGGTCTTGTATCTTATCTGTTGCTTTCATTGGTTAATTAATAAAGAAAATTGCTTGGCCTGATAGGACAGAAAATTAGGTAGGCAGAGTAAACAGAAAAGAATGCTGGGAGAAAGAAGCTGAGTCAGGCAGTCCCCATGATTCTCCCACCAGACACAGATGCAGGTTAAGATCTTCCCTGGTAAGCTACCTCGTGGGCTACACAGATTATTAGAAATGGGTTAGATCAATATGTAAGAGCTAGCCAATAAGAGGCTAGAACTAATGGGCCAGGCAGTGTTTAAAAGAAAAAAAAAAGATTGTAAACCCCATTGATGCATTGGATATTGAAGTTGCCAGTAAAGAATAATCATAAAAACAATTCTCTTGCTTAGTCTGGTTACTCATCACTCTCTGGGGAGAAGGGCACAGAGTTCTCATAGATATTACTCGAAAAGAACCTGGAGCTGAAGTCCCCCAGCTCGTAACAGGGAGGGAGCAAAAGTCCTTGTACCCGTGCCAAAGCAGCTTCAAAGATTCTCTTTGTAGTTATGCCTTTAAAAGCTTACCCCACAGAGGAGATACAACTCCTCTCTCTACCTCGCTGTAACGGGGATGGAGATGAGTTCCAAACATGTTTGTATTATGCTAATTAAACCTTGCTTATTACAGTCTGGGCCTCTCTGGTGGTCTCTCTCTGGGGGTCGTAATCTGGGCACAACACCCAGTAGACTGAACTTGGCCATAAGAAGAGAAGGTGCGGGGGAATGAGAGAGGCAGACAAGAAATAGAGAACAGGAAAGAGGAAAAGCAGAACAAGAAAGGTGCTGAGAACCAAGAGAAAAACCAAGAGATCTCATGGCCTATGTGGTAGGGTTATACAGGAAAGAGAACCTGGGGGAAGGGAAACTAAGCCCCAGGACTGGAGAGGTTTAGGGTAGGGGGCAGGGGTGAGAAGAACAGAGAGGAGCCACTGGTACTGAGAGAGCTTGGTGGCCAACAGGGGCTTTGGTATGCTAATGGGCACTTCAGTTAGCCATTTGTCATGGGTTTCTTTGTGATCTGACAGGATCCTTTTAGCAAGTGATTGCCATCTCACCATTTCACATTCTGAACAATAGTGCCAGTACAAATCACCTGCCTTCTAATTCATTGTACTGCCCCTGCGCATTGAGGAGGCAGACCTTAGCAGTTGCCTTCACAGCTAATAATCATTTCTTAGCTTTCTTTGAAGCAGCAGTGGCCTCTACCCAGACAATGGCTCCCAACTTTTCTAAATTCTTTGTGACTAACTTCCTCCTTGCTGTATCAGATTCTCTTGCAGCCAGAGGTACCCACTTAACTAGCTCTGAACAGTGAGACCTGTGCACACGTTGAGTGGGTTCCTGGGAGGTAGGCTGGAGGGAACTTTGTTTTCTTTTTTTTTTTTTGTAGTTTTTCGAGACAGGGTTTCTCTGTAGCTTTGGAGCCTGTCCTGGAACTAGCTCTTTTAGACCAGGCTGGTCTCGAACTCACAGAGATCCGCCTGCCTCTGCCTCCCGAGTGCTGGGATTGGAACTTTGTTTTCTTGATTAAAGGAGAGAGACCACTTGATTCTTTTCTGCTTCTTCCTGCTCTGAAATTAGACCTCATGCTTGGACCTTTAGTACGTGTCAGTCAATTATAACATGTGGTTCTTACGTTCTCAAGATACTGAGTGTATACTGGCAGTTTCCTCAAGAGAGAGAATGCCTGATAAGTGAGCAAGAAATCTGTTTGCTTAGCCATTGGATGAAGGTTCCTGCTACTTATAGTATAAGTACATTTAAGAAAGCTGCTAGGTTCCTTTTCAGTGATCACTTTGCCCATACATGATAGGTGAAAAAATGTACAGCCATCCTAGCAAAAAGGATATCATCAGAAGAGACTCCTAAGGTAGTCTAGCCATAAATAGAGTCTGAAGTAGTGCTTCTCTAGCATGGCTACTAAAATTTAAATATGCAGGCTGTGTACTTTTTGTATAGGTATGAAGGCAACAGTGTTTGGGGCTTCTCTATGTCTTTCTGACTATCTTGCTTTTTCTTTTCTTTTTTTTGTTACTTTTAAAAATTCTCCTCTCATACATTACATTCCAAGCACAGTTTCCCCTCCCTCTACTCC